TCAACAGTTTATTGCGTTGCTTAACTTTACAACAAATGTTTTAGATACATACATGTATAAGGGGAGGTTTGTACTGGGTAAACCCCACAACATTTTGTGACTACGGGGTTTACACTAAGTCAGGCTATCTGGATCATGTGCTTTTATTGTTGATTGTCTTTTTGTTAGTGTTGTCAAATTGAACAGTTTTGTTACTCAGATAACCTTTTGACCGATTCACCAGTAGTTAAGTTGATGTGTTAAGGCCTTATTTACAGTACAAATGTACATGTTTGTGACACCATAACTTTAAGTTTATCATTGGCCATTATAAGGCTTATCCTTGAGCATTCATGGTGAAGTTTTACTTTTGATAATCCAATACTGCCGTATCTACTTTGACGTTTGCAATAACTTCATATGGAGAAGATGAAAATCTTGTTGATATTGTTGAATTGACAATGTCTGAAACCGTTGATTGTTTCATTTTCTCTGATGTCTCAGAAGATAACGTGGAGTGTATCCATTTGAGATGATTAATTGATTGATTGATTGTTGGTGTTTTAACGCCTCTTTTAAGCGCCACATTTGGGCTATTTCGTGGCGGCCATTTTTATTGGTGAAGGAAGCCGAAGTGCCCGGAGAAAACCACCTACCTTCGATAGGAAAACTGACAATCCTAGTCAATTGAGATTGGAGTCGAGTGCACCTGCACGAGCGGGGTTCGAACTCACAACCTCAGTGTTGACTGGCTAGTGATTACAGTAGTAGAACTACATAGACCACTTGGCCACCGAGGCCCCTTGAGATGGTTAAGCAACACAGTATACATTAGTTCCATTCACGTTCTACGTCCACTTCTTCTGCCACTAAGTGACCACTGTCATGAGGTTTACTATCCAGCCACTGTTTGCTATGCCCTTGCATACTTAACAAGTCGAAAATAATTTATAATTGAGAGAAAAAATAAAATTTGTGCTGTACATATCATTTATACATAGTGCAAATAAAAACATGGGACTTGAAATTTAACGAGTATGCAGTAGTCTCTTGAATAAGTCAAGACTTTGTTGATTTGCATTTCAGCATTTTTGAGTTGTCATTTTGTTTTAAGTATGACAAAGCCTTGGACGATGGAGATGGCATATTCAGATGTAGGTCTACGCAATATAATAAATAATGAAATAATGAAGTAAATCGTAAAATCGGCTTACAACTTTTAAAAATACATATATGCTAATTATGTTTTATTAAGATCTTGCCCCAAGCTGATAGACAAGTTGTCTTTGTGCTAATTATTTTTATGTTTTCAACAAAATTCTAATAAAATTGAAAAAAGGTCTTGTTAACCGGTTAGCATTTTTGGTATTCGATATCAGGTCCTTTGGACGGTTAACCGTTGACAACACTACTTTTTATATAAAATAAGGAGGTTTGGTATGATTACCAATGAGACAACTATAAAACTGAGTCCACTTATATGGATATAAGCAAATATAGGTCACCATAAAGCCTTCAACAATGAGAAAAACTCATACCGTATAGTCCGCTATGAAAGACCCTGACGTCATAAAATGTAAAACAATTGAAACAAACAAGAGTACACATGCTGAAATGTCTCACCTGTTTTATTGATCATGGTTGAATTCATGTTGAAAGTCTTAGAGGAAAAGGTTGTGAAACAAGTGTTTACACCTTACAACCATTCCATACCAAATATAGTTCACATATTGCTTTAAGTATCTTCGAAATGGACTTAACCATGAAAACATTGCATTAACCAATAAACCATGAAAATGAGGTCAAATGTAAGATGAATCTTGCCTGACAGACTTGTTCATATTACAATCATTCCATACGCCAAATATAGTAAACCTATTGCTTAGAGTATCTGAAAAACAGACCTAAGTCTAACCAAGAAAACTAAACTGAGGTCAATGTCAGGTTAACTCTGCCAGACAGACATGTTCACCTTTCAATCATTCCATACACCAAATATAGTTAACCTACTGATTATAGTAAATAAGAAACAGACTTTATATGAATACATAACAATGACCAATGAACCATGAAAATGAGGTCAAGGTCAGATTAAAACTGTCCAGACAGACATGTACACTTTCCAATCATTCCATACACCAAATTAAAATTATCTGCTTATAGTATATGAGATGAGGACCTGACCACAAAACTTAACCTTGATCACTGATCCATAAAATGAAGTCAAGGTCAGGTGAACTCTGTTGGACAAATGTATTTGTGAGCTATCAACCCTTCCCCTAACCTGGGACAATGGTGCAACAGCAAAACATAAAAAAATACAAAAAAATAGTTGGAAATGGCTTGGCTAATCAGATAGTCCGGCAGCACAAGCTAGATGCTCTAAAGATCCTGTGTTGCTCACCTGCATCTTCAACAAATGGCCACTTTTTAGTAAAAATCGTCAATAAGGGGAATAACTCTATTAAGAGTTAACTGACTATTTCGTCTTGTAGATATTTGTAGATCTTATGCTGCTGATATTCTTCCCTTTGAAAGTTTCTATTTATCTTGTGCAGTTTTTAAGATAATTGGCAAAACGCAAAAAAAAAAATGGTAAAGACTATCATTAAAGGGCAATCACTCCAATAACAAATCGACTGAAGATTTATTTCGGCCATGATGGCTTTTTTGTAGATCTTGTCTTGCTGATCATCTTTGCTATTTAAAATTTCTATTTATCTATTATAGTTTTCAAGATAATAGGCAAAACGCAAAAAAAAAAATGGTAAAGACTATCATTGAAGGGCAATCACTTTAATAACAAATCGACTGAAGATTTATTTCAGCCATGATGGCGTATTTGTAGATCTTGTCTTGCTATCATCATTGCTATTTAAAATTTCTATCTATTATAGTTTTCAAGATAATAGGCAAAAATGCAAAAATTGTCATTACAGGGCAATAACTTCAAGGAGTCTACGAACAACATTGATCATGGTAAAAAATTAAGTTTACAAGTATGAAAAGTGGGCATTATTGTGAAAATATTTTTTAGAAGCGGATTTCGAGGAATAAAAGATGAAAATCAACGTAATGAAAAAGAATTTGGCCATGTTTGTCCGCAGGCTGGTTCATCGGAAACAATTTTAAAACTAGATACCCCAATGATGATTGTGGCCAAGTTTGGTTAAATTTGGCCCAGTAGTTTCAGAGGAGATGATCTTTGTAAAAGTTAAAGGAAGATGATGACAGATGCCAAGTGATTGCAAACCCTCACACTGGCCCTTTGGCCCAGGTGACCTAAATACAACTAACATAAAGCAAAAGACACAAAATATTGATCGATGAGTACTCACAGTTACTGAAATCTAGTTCAAAGCATATAACAACTAATAAATGAATCATGTTCCCCAAGACCAATATCAATCACTACATGTACAACGGATTTGGTGTAAAGACGTCATAAACCATTTGAGAAAAATATGACCTTGTGCAATGCCAAAATATAAGTATATAATATTGACAGACTAGGACCATCAGTTTTACATAAATGTTAAGCAATACATAAGCCTGTCCTAAGTCAGGAGCCTCTGGCCTTTGTTAGTCTTGTATGTTTTTTAATTTTATTTCATTTATATGTTTTGGAGTTTAGTATGACGTCCATTTTCACTGAACTAGTACACATTTTTATTTAGGGGCCAGCTAAGGACCACCTTCGGGTGTGGGATTTTCTCGCTGCGTTGAAGACCCATTGGTGTCCTTCGGCTGTTATCTGCTCTTTGGCCGAGTTGTTGTCTCTTTGACATATTCCCCATTTCCATTCTCAATTTTATATTTATGTTTTGATTTATCAAAAACAAAATCAATGTTAGTATCCTATGAAAACATATTAAAAATCTTATTTTGGTGCTAAAATGAAATCCTTTAAAAAGAAGTTTATTCAAAGGATCAATATCTTTACATGGATTGTGTGTCTGTTTTTTGTGAGGAGTCGGATGTTGTTGGTTGATGTGGTCTGTTATCCTTTTCATGAATTATATTTACTGAAATACATGCATACATAAATATATATAGGTATAACATTTGACTGCAAGCATTAAAGTCTGTGTAATATTTCACAATTCAAAATTTCCTGTGAGTTCACATTTCTTTTTATAAGAATTATTAAAACCAATTCAAAATCAAAATCGAAATCAAACAGACTGTTTCCATTTTTTTTATAGTCTTTAAAGTTAAAAATATAGCATGCATCTAAATTTCATTTTTTTTAGATTTTTATTTAGGTAGTAAAATATAGACAATAATCTCGAAACATTTTAAAATTTTAGGAAGAAAAAAGAAGAGAGAATAGATACAATGCACCCTTCAAAAAAAGTTCAATAAAAACATTATTTTGGCCATCAATTACACAATGGCCAAAAATTTAAACGACCAAGAGGCAAAAGACAATAACAAAACATTACACAGAAAACTAAAGATAACGCAACAGAAACCACACCAAAAATCAATGGTGAACTTGAGTGCTCCAGAAGGGTAGGCAGTTTTGGCTAACTAGTGGCAACCCATGAATAGTCTCATTCAAAACTGTCACAATGTTTACAAAAAGGACTTAAATTTAAAACCAATCCTCTACAAAATGTTTGAATCAATGTTAAATGTATGTATTGTGAGTTTGTATGTACAATTCAAGAAGTTTTTAATTTAAATATAACTGATATACCACCATGTTCTTAGAGGTATGACTATAATGGAATTTTAAGCATAGAACTCTCAAAAGTAACATGTTAGTCACATTGGCCAACTTGATATCCAAATGTAATGTTGTTAAAGGATGACAATATCATCACAAATAAAGCAATATGTACAAACAACTCCAACAAACAAGAAATGGATGTCAAAGTGGAATTCTACCTCCATTTTAAAGCTCTATACTATTATGTTTAGTGTTTTGATACATAGTAAGAGCTTTCATACCTGGAGCCTGTTTTAATCTTGATTTACTTCATTTCTGAATCTTTTGGCCCTAACCTATTTCTGGTTGCACATGAAAAAATCCACTCTTTATTGGTTATATTCTTACAAGCTGACAACTGCAAATCATATTTTTTTTTTATTCAAAAATCTTAATTTTTCTTAACTTCATTGATAATTTTTTGCAACCAAGCCTGACAATGCTGATTATTGGTCCCAGTCAGGATAACCTGATCATTAGTACCAACTGTCTGTGTACAATTACTAGGTTGACCTGATACCAATGTAGTCTGGTTAACCTGTACAAACTGTTTCCTTTTATCAATACTTTTCTTTGCATTGTCTCTTTTCTTTCCTTTCTGTTTTCTGACAGGAATTGTTATTGTTTCTAGTTGATCTGGCTCTTCAGGAAGTTTTATAGTATCTGATCTCTGAATATCTTCAAAAGAGCTAATTGTTCCTGATGGCTTTAGTATTGCAGTATCAGATCTAACCACTGATTGGTTCATAAATATTGTATCAGATCTTTCGACTGATTGGTCAATAATCATGGTATCTGATCTTTCCATTGGTTGAAAAGGAAGTGTACCAGTTCTTTTAGCTAAGGTTACTGGTTGCTCTATTGTAGTTTTACTATTTACTTCTTTTCTTGATTTGTTTGATGTTTTTAAAATATCCTGTACTTCTTCATCAGTATCTGTCATGTTGCCTTCTGTTGATATATCTTCATCAATCACAAGTGATTGGCTGTCCTGTCGTGACCTCTGACTTTTATATATATTTTCTGACTTCCTTGAAATTTTTTTGTCGATTTGAGGTTTGGGAGGTACACATGCTTGTGATCTGTTATTTTGGTCCATAATTAATAGTGATCCTAAATCCACTGTATTTGTTCCAAATGCATTATCGCCACTGGACCTCGATACAGGATTGATCTGTAAAGTAAGCTGAAGTTGTTGAGTTTGATCAGTATTAGACACTTTTTGTCCAACAGTTTGGTTTGAATACATGGTAATAACATCACTTAAGGGGAGAGAGAAGTTCATGTATTCAGATGTTAATGTTGATGTTGGAACTGACATTGGTTTTTGTCTTTCATAATGTTCTTTAGTTTTTGGTGGGATTTTAGTTTTTGTACTACTAACCATGTGGTATGTTGTTGGATTATGACCTTGTGACACTGTCTGTGATACACTAACATTTTGTGATGAATTTATGTTACTATTTCGACTTCTTTGTGATTTGGTAGACTTGGAGACTGGTTTGACTGATAATTGATCAATTATTCTTCCTGATGGGTTGTTGTCACATTCTATTGATAAGTCATCTGTAACAGTTTGTCCAATACCCATGACTTCAGTTGGTATATTTCCACTTATAAAAGGATTTCTGTTTTCTAATTGGTTGTTATATTTATTTGCTGTAAACTGACTGACCAATGGTGCAGCAGTATACATTGTAGGATTGTTGACATTGGTTAGGTGTGAAGCTCTTGCAAACTCTTTCAAAACAATATCTGGTATACAAGGCATCTCATTGGACGTTTCACCATTATTTGTAAATATGGTCATGTTTGGGGGAGATAATTCTTGATCAGATAGATTGGCGTTAACTTGTGTATTTGTATAAAGCTGTTTTTGTACTGCAGCTGTTTTTGATGACGATAAATTATTTGTGGCAGACGTCTTACCCGTATTGGGTTTTCTCCTCAAATTTGATTTGAAGATTTTATTTGACTGTAATGATTTATCTCTATTAACCTCTGTCACAAATGTTGAACCAGTCTGAACTGGTCCACATTTTTTAGCACTCTCCAGAAAACTAGGTAAACTCATTTCTACAACTTGAGCATTAGATAAAACTTCTGATACTTTATCCACAGGCATGTTTTCCAGAGAAATTATTTGCTGATTGCCAGCTCCTTGGATAGGTAATGTAAAATTATATATCCTGTTTCCACCATTATCTAAAATTGGGTTCATTATTATTTCCTCTGCTGTTTGGTGTTGTGCTGCTATATTAACTGTATTGGGCTGGATTGTTATAACATTTTCATCTGATTGTGATGACATTTGACCAAACTGATAGTTTGGCTGAGTAAGAACTATGTTTTGCTGCCTCTGCATCATTTGCTGCTGTGTTGGGATCATTGGGTGTGAAGTTGGGATTATGTTTTGTGGAGCTTGGATTATTTGTTGTGGATTTTGGATTATATTTTGCTGAGCTGGAATACCTTCATTTTGAGATTGATGAGAGATGTTATTTTGAGGAATAACAGTAACACCTGCTGGTGTGAACAAAACCTGTGAACTCTGTGAACTATTTGAACTTGTCACAATGACAGTCTGACCTTGGGCCAAATTCGTCTCAACCAAGGATTTCAAAATCTTGCTTTGTTTCTTCTGAACATTACTTTTTATTCTGGCTTGTTCTGCATTAATATTTATACTTAATTCCTGAGCAGGAGTCAGTATAATATTGCCACTGCTAAGATTTATATTAGAACTGGTTCCAGTTTTATTTTGTATGTCATGTGAACAGATTGTTGTTTTATCCTGATTCCCAGTAGTACTGGTACCTATTAGAAGCCCCATATTGTGGAGTGTCTGCTGAAGATTTTTCTGCGTATTTTGAATCTGCATATTTAACTGGTTGTTGATCTGTTGTAGGAGATTTACATTCTAAAATGAAATAAGATAAAAATGTCACCATAATCTCCTGATTAAAGTAAGCCATAAATGGTTAATGTCAGAGAATCATTCATAATTTTTTATGATAATTTAACCTCTAAAATGAAAATTATAGACAGCTGATTCTCTGAATGGGTAATGTCATTAGGCATAATGAAAAGGAAATTTTGTATTACTATCACAAATGTTTTTACAAAGTAAATTTTTTTCTAAATTAAATCTTGACAATGTAAATTTTTTACTAAATGAAATCTTTATAATGTAATTTTTTTTTAATAAATTACATCTTTAAAATGTAAAATGCTTAATGAGTAATACAAAAAGTGCAGTGAACCTTGGTTACAAGTGATTGTCCACAAAAAAACTTTTTGCAGTCATTTCCTTATAAGAAAATCATGGTTCCTGGTGAGGGGAAACAGAAGATGTATAAATTGAAGATTTTGTACATTTTGTAATGAATACCATTTTTTCAATGGGTATAATATGGAGGAATGTTTCCCAGAGAACACTTTATACAAAATAGAAATCAAAGTACACTTAAAACTCTATGTCCCATTTCATAAGAGACAACATTTACATAGTTAGATAAATATAGATTCCACCAGTGTATCATATGTGATGCAATACTTCTCTTGAGACATTACATTTTTTTATAATTAAGGCCAGGCTTGCTAATATCTTTGATATTTATAATTTAACTGTCAAGAATGGATAAAAATCTTATTGCACGATATATAGTGATTTAGTCTGTTTCTTTAATGATTTTTTTACCATAGGGTAGAAAACTATTTTTTCACTTCCTTTTTCAATGATCTGCGGATGTTTGTGTTTTTATGTGACATCTTCAGGCATGGACAGCTTTATTTTGTGAGGTCAGAGGAAAGCAATGAAAATTTTATGTCTATAATTCAGTTTTGACAAATGAAGTACTGGGATCAAGCAAACCACATGTTGATCATAAAAAAATAACCTACTGTTCAAGAAAATTAAAAATCGGCTAAGAATGAGATAAATATTTACATCTGTCTGACTTTTGCCCTGTGATGATAGCGTTTGTTGGAGTAATTGATGTTGTAATTCTTGTTGTTGCTGTAGCTGGATTTGTTGTTCATGTAGTTGAACTTGTAGTTGCTGCAACTGTTCCCTTTGCTTATCGACCTGAAACATAACAAACATTGTCATAAAAAATCCCCATCAATTCCCTTTTAGAATGTAGAAAATATCCCTTTTAAAATACTGCAGATTTTTTATTATTCATGGGATACCAATTTTTGACAAAGTACACATTTTCTATAGGCTTGTATGCCAATGTATGCAGACTGGAAAACCATGAAATCAAATATCCACAAAATAGCAGTTTTCCCTCAATCCACATAAGTTGGTACACACTAAAAAAAAATGAATCCACAATATGTCAAATTCCTCTCTCCAAAGTTAAACTGAAAGGGTTTATATTTATTAATGAACAGATCGATGTACTGAGAAGTAATGCCTTATCATTACTCTAATCTTTGAAAGAGTTTTGTTTGTTAAATGAATTATTATTTTACAAATTAGACCAAGGATAATTTGTATTTTCAGAGAAACACCAGAGCACAAAAGATAAAACCTTGGACCTTCAGTGAATAACTGTAAACACTTTATCAAATGCCAGCATATCATGACTCAATTTTGTGCACCTTAAATTTGCAACTGAACAGAGCAAATTTAAAAGCTCTATGGCTAAATTGATCCATATCAGAGCTTCCAAATAAAAAACTTGAGTAAGTCATTTTTTTTTAACCAGATTTTTTTTTATCTCTTTACACTTTTTAACTTCAGTGACAACAGGCATTCAAGCCAATAAAGGAAATAATTAGGGAATTTACCTACACCATTCAGCCAAATTGATACCAATCTTAAGCATGGGCTTTACTATAGAATGGAATTCCATCTTACCAATTATTTCTATACCGCAGACAAGTCTTAAAAGTTTTTCATATCTGCAATGACCTTTTGAGTGTAATGAAAGAATACTATGCCATTTTTCAATCTTTTAACCATAGAAGTCCCAGTGGATCAGTCTGAGCACAAATCTTCATATTAGTCTTTTAATGTCATATTGATTATTGCTCTCCAGTGTGGTGTGTAGAAACTGAAGTTCAGTATAACTTACAACATTTGTCTGTATTTCTGTAACTGCAGTCTCCATAGATGCCACAGCTTTTGATTGCTCTACAAAATGAATTCAATCAATAATGAATATTGATTTCAAAAAGAGACATATTTTGACAGTGATCTTTTTAGATATTTCATATGAGTCGTGTATTTGTTATTTTTACTTTTAATGCAGTAACAAAGCTGGTTGCTAGAAGCAGGAGCAGTACAAAGTACAAACCTACCTTTTGTGTAAAGAACTGATACAGTATTATTTAAACTAGATATTACAGGATTCTAATTGTTTACTTTCAACTAAGTGCTTAATTTTAAAAAAAATTTCATCATTTATGGGCAATAACTCCTGTAAGAAGTCAATTAATGGTTTCAGTCATATTGCATTCTTGCAGTGTGCTCATTTCGCTGTTGACGCTTTCTGTCTCCTTGATAAAGTTTTAATATAGGTTAATGACAAAATTTCAAAAAAGGTCAAATATTGTCATTTACAGCAATAACTGTTTTCACGAATTCTGTAATATTGGTATAAAGTAGGTAAATCTTCTAAAGCATCTTTACCATGTCAGATTTTCTCTATCTATTATGATTTTCAGGCATTAGACATTAACATGCTTTTTACCCCTATGTTCTATTTTAAGCCATGGCAGTAATATGGTGGGATGGCTTTGATCCAGAATATTCAAGCTCTTTGATTTTATGATTTCATTTTGCATTGTGTTATTGTTCATTTCAGGTAGGCGGTAGCCTTTTCCTCAATTCCTCTGCCCATATCATAAACTTGGATATGTAAGATGACTCTTTTCGAGGCTGAGACATTTTCACATATGTTGTTAAATTTTTAGGGTACGAAGTGAGATTGGTTTTACATAATTTAGCACACCCCGGAAAGCCTTTTGCAATATGCCTTCTTGAGGTAAAAATCCCTTTTTTCACACAATAAAATCTTTGAAAATTCTGTTCTTTGCATAGATTTGATAACTCCATAGTTTTTACACCTTTATTCTAAAAGCTCTCCAAATCAGCACAAATAGTTAAGCTCAGTCACTTGTTAAAAATTGAAACATGTCCAATATCACTGCACAGAGTTTACACACTACTTTTGAGTTCCTCATTATGAGGCACATGAGGAATATTGACCCAAATAAGTTCAACTGGAGTCAGCTTCTAGGCAGCTTCAGTTTATGTAGTCAATTGAATTTAATCACAAAAGAATGAACAAAATATTTTATTACTGTAAACTAACTTATTCTCGCAAGTAGAAAAATAAAGTGAATATAAACTGTTGTGAATATGTAACACTTTGATCTTTACATATATAGATATATCAAGAAAATAAAAAAAAATAAAAATAAATTGCTATGAATATAAAAATAAGAAGATGTGGTATGATTGCCAATGAGACAACTCTCCACCAGTGAAATTGGTTGAAAAGGGCTAAACATGAAAATAAAGCAAAAATAAGTTGGTTTACAGTATTCTTTCAAAAGGATGTAAACAATGTTACAAAACAGGCTGACTTTACCGACCTTTCTTTTTACTTTTATGGTGGTATTTTTTAAGTCCATGGGTGGGAGGTTCTCTGTCACCATTGGTTTGTGCCATCTGTTGGTTCACTTGTACTATGGTTGTCCGTGAACATCCAGTTACAGCTGTCACAAATGTATAACAATTTTTCCTGGCACATGCTGCAATTAAAATCATTTCTGTTACATTACACCTCCATAAGTATGTGTGGAATTTTTTTATGAAAAAAAGCAGACGAAAGTCAGCAGGCAATCTGATGTCAACATATATACCGGGGTATGTTCCTCCTAACAGAAGAAGAGACTTTTTTAAACATTGTTTTTATCTTGTTCCTGTTGGAACAAATATTTTATACCCTTTTTCGGTCATGAACAAATATTAATATTTCTTCCAGTGGAAATAATTTTCCAGAATATTTCTTCAATTTAGAAGGAATTTCAATTCCATGAGACTGAAACCATGATGGTAATTTGTAACTATATCTACTATTTTAAATAAAGTCAAATAATGGTGAACCCTGGAGGAATTGGGTTAATCCCCATTTGATGATGGCAATTTTTCAATTTAACAGTCTGTTGATTCCTTAAATCTTGCCCATCTACGGTTCATTTTGCTAAACCAAACTAAATTTATTTGGTAAAAAAATCACTATTCAAACTGCAAATGTTTTGATGACACGTTGCAGTAATACAGAATTATTCTGTAGGATGAAATAGCTCAAATATTGAAATATAATACAAAACAAAACATGTTAGATATGTATACATTTTATAATTCCACTACAAAATGTGGTTATTCTATGGGCATTGTATATTTTTAATAATCTGCAAGCTTTATTGATCAAGTCTTCATTTGAAATTTAACAGTACTAATGACCTCTTTTGTTTTATCTTAACTCACCTGTTGGTGTGAGCATTTCAGCAATAACCCTTCTAGCCTCTAATTGACCTTGCCTTGCCCTTCTCCTCCATTCTTCTAATATAGTCCTGTGTGTCAAAGCCATCTATTATAAACAAACAAAATATCTGATTAACATAGGTACCTGTCCCAAGTTAGATAACTCATCAGTTTTATTTTCTGTCTGATAAAGAATTGCTGTGGAAGTCATATATATGAATTGGTAGTTTTTGCTAAAATTTATTCAAAACCTTTTTTAGGCAGGTGTTGAAAATTGTTTATTGTTCATGACCGTATATTGATGTGTTCTTTTTTATGATTTTATTGTGTTATTGCATGGCATGCTGTCTAAATGGTATAAACCCCACATATTCTTTTATTCATATTTCATTTCTCACAACAATAAAGAATTTCTAAAAACTAAAATGAAAAATAATCCTTATAAAGATCTAGAGTACCAATAAGTGACAGCTAATACAGGAAAACAAAAAAAACTATTTACAGACACGAATAACTTTGTTTGAAAGAAATGAAGATTAAGATATCTTACCATTACACAGTTGTCGACACAGCATCTCTTTTTAGCTAAATCATCAAATGATTGCAACAGTCCAAGTCGAGCTTTTCCTTTCACTGGCAGGGCACGGAATCGTTTCTGAAAATGATGGAAAGATAAAATTTATAGATTATATATTGTTAGGTACAAGTATATTTAGTGGAAACTTTCCACTTGATTCAAGTAAGTGTGTTGTACAATAGTTTTTTGGGTGTAGGAAATCCATAATAGAAAGATTATATGTTTATCGTGCCATTCTAAATAAAACATATAAACCGTTGGTTTTCCCCTTTGAATGGTTTTACACTAGTAATTTTTTGGGGCCCTTTATAGCTTACTGTTCGGTGTGAGCCAAGGCTCCGTGTTGAAGACCGTACTGTGACCTATAATGGTTTACTTTTATAAATTTTGACTTGGATGGAGAGTTGTCTCATTGGCACTCATACCACATCTTCTTATATCTATTTATGTTAAAATAAATTAATATTATAAAAACGGGAACACTCTACTTATGATTTAATATTATGTCAGGTGTATCAATTTTTCTGAAATGTGTCAGTATTAAAAATCATTTTTTTTTAGAAACATTACAATTAAGGTAAAATGATTTGATATGCTTAGTAAAAGATGACAATTACAATTTAAACACAATACTCTAAATGTTACAGATATTCACAAAACTTGGTATGCATATGATATACCTCCTCGGTTTTTAATTTTTTATGTAAGAAGTTGTTGGAGTAACAGAGAATTTTCTGTGTTGCACGTTCACACAGCTGAAGTTTTCTCTTTAAGTTCTCTCTATTCAATAATACAAATTCTGTAAATTTCTCTGACTTTTTGTGCCCATTTCCAAGTCCAATGATAACATTCCTGAAATGAATAAACTCTTTCTGTGTTTATGTCATGCAATATTGAACATAATTAAATTAATAACTAAGTTGAGTATTTTATAAGCTTTTGCATAGCAAAATTACATTTTCAATTGGGAGTTACCAGTATAATATATATGTAGGACTCTAAAGTACGATGGTACTCTAAAGTGCAATGGTCACGCTCAACTGCTATGGTCTACGCTAAAGTGCGATGGTGTCAAACGCTTAAGTGCGATGGTTCTTTATTTTTTTAAGTGCGATTATATGACACGCTAAAGTGCGATGGTATAACACTCTAAAGTGTGATGGTGTAACAGGATTGGGGTTCAGGCAATGATTTTAGTTTGTTGCTGTGTTCCTATTAGTTTTTCGTTTATTGTTTTCTTTACAAATCAAGCCGTTGTTATTCTCTTTTGAATTGTTTTACACTGGTCATTGTGTGGCCATATATAGCTTGCTGTGCAGCATGGGCCACGGTTATTAGTTGCATACATCACCGACATTTGGTCTTGGGTGGATAGTTGTATCATTGACAATACCACATCCTCTTATTTTTATTTAAATTACGATAGCTATTTAAAAAGTGCAATGGTTACCTTGCAGTAGCAAGTATATACTTTATGAACCTGTCTCAAGCCAGGAACCTGTAATTCAGTGGTAGTCGTTTGTTGCTGTATTTCATATTTGTTTTCCGTTTATTGTTTTGTATAGAAATCAGGCCGTTTGAATTTACACTGGTCGTTTTGAGGCCATTTGGTCTTCATAGAATACTATAATTATATGGGGTTCAAGCCAATGCTCTGCGTTAAAGGCCATGAGTTAACCTAAATTTGTTTACATTTATGACACTTGGTCTTGGATGGAGAGTTGTCTCATTGGCAATCATATTACGATTCTAGTGAATCTAGTCGTTAGGTTACTGTCTAGTTGACGAATATCCATCTCTTTAACAGAAATGACGTACCATATTGTAAAAAGAGATGTTTTATAGAATAATTTAACTAAAATCACACAAGTACATGACATGGGATTACAAACATAGAAGGAGTTTCTAAATTAAATAATTTTTTTTTGGAACTCCAGCTGTTTTGATCAAATTTCCTTTTACAAATCAAGTTAACCACTTCCAGGGCTGACCAAGAATAATCCGGATTGGGATCATTTGTTTCTTTCTTCTTTCTTTTCTTGTCTAATAAAAACCTTTCATCTGGACAAATATTCACGTTTTCCGGCATGTCCATTTATATTTGTACAAACGGTTTGTGACGTTGCTAACGTCCATACATTCGCGATCAAACGCTCTTTCGCAGAAAAACGCACTTTAGCTTATTGAGGCATCAGACTTTAGCGTATATACCATTGAATAGCCCAGACCATCGCACTTTAGTGTGACCATCGCGTTTTAGCGTCCCTATCGTACTTTAGAGTCCTACATATATACAATGTTTGTCTAAGACCAAATTCTCCTGATTCAAGATGGTCATGAATACGCATGAAATAATTGCCACTGGAGGTTAAGCAAGCAACAATCAATCATTCCTGATTCTAATTATTTCAAAATTGAATGTTTGCAGAGGCAGATTTAGGAAGGAGTTACATATATGGTTAATGCATAGACTTTTTATATCTACACCTAATGTTGCCTAGTTTGGGTGCTCCTTTTCTCAAAATCCTGGATCCACATCTTGTTTGGGACAATCTTTGTTTTTATATAACTTACACATTCTGCCTTTGGAATAAAAAGGAGTCAAAGGTGCATAATCTTGCTATTTTTCACTATAATTTCAAGGCTGTACTATAAACAATGAAAATAAAATACTTTTACCAAAATTATATATAGTTTCATTTGAAAAACCCAAATACAACATATTTAATACTGTATACTGGAGAAATGACACTTTTGATCTTAAGTACCATTTTGGCCCTCAATCGTACTTCTCTTTTGTAATAACCACTAAAATATGAAAATCTGTCAACTTTGAAAAAATAATTCAATATAAGTAAAAAAAACATCTGCAATAAATTAATACTATGTATGTTATGAAAATACCCTAATTTTGTTGGTTAGACTTCATTTTAACTGTAACTTACCTTTTGAGTTTTTTTGATGGACTATTATCAGAATTTTGATCGGAATTATTTTCAGGATTATTGTCTTGCTGTTTTTCAGGACTGTTTTCTGATGTTTTCTCAGGTGTTTTTTGAGTCTCAGCAACATATTTATCATAACATTTTAAAGCACTCAGACGCCTAGCCTCTGATGCCATGGCACTAAGCTGTGACGCCCTTTTTTGCTTCTCAGCTTCTACACCTTAAATAGAAAACAAGTGCACATTTTTATCACAAGACACAAAGTTTATATAATAAACAGATCAGACACATTGTGTTTCATTCTGTTTCATATGATCAGTTACAATATTTCCCTCTCAAGGTGGTACATAACACTACAGGGAGATAACTCTGTAAAAATCAGCTGAACGTTTTAATCACGTTCTATTGTTAAGAAAATATTAAGCTTCTCAATGATAAAAATTAGTGTTTGTCAAACTGCTATATATCCAATGAAATTTTTCCGATAAAGTGTGTGGTTCAAGTTTTTTGAAATTTTTATATTTTTGACAAAGGGTCAAAGTAAATATTTTGTCAAAATTTTATGAAAATTAAACGAGCCAAATTAATTTTAGTCAAGGTGTTTGGTACCACCTTAAGGGGAGTCGATACGGTTTCACATTATTTTTTCATTTTTGAGACATGTTGTAGATCGAGACAAAATCTTTGAATAAAATGCTTCGCTGGGGCGCAGCTTGATACGACCGCAGAGGTCGAACCCTGAACAGTTGGGGCAAGTATGGACACAACATTCAAGCTTGATACAGCTCTGAATTTGGATTGTTATTAAATATTTGACACAGCAGAGGTTTCTGACACAGAAAGAATGTGGTCTAAGAACTTGAATTTTTTTTAATTTACCTATTATGGTCCAATGTCCAAAATCAAAATACATGGTTAGATTCAGCATATCAAAGAACCCCATATATTCAATTTTTGTTAAAATCAAACAAAGTTTAATTTTGGACCCCAACTTGGACAAACTTGAAAACTGGGCCCATAATCAAAAATTTAAACACATGTTTAGATTCTGCATATCAAAGAACCCCAAGAATTCAATTTTTTCTAAAATCAAACTAAGTTTAATTTTGGACCCTTTGGACCTTAATGTAGACCAATTTAAAAAACAGGACTTAAAATTAAAAATCTAAATACACAGTTAGATTTGGAATATCAAAGAACCCCAATAATTCAATTTTTGATGAAATCAAACAAAGTTTAATTTTGGACCCTTTTGTCCTCAATATGAACCAATTTGATAGCGGGGCCCACAAATAAAAAATCTAAATTCATGGTTAGATTCAGCATATTAAAGAACCCCATATATTCAATTTTTGTTGAAATCAAAAAAAGTTTAATTTTGGACCCTTTGGACCCCAACTTGGACCAACTTGAAAACTGGGCCCATAATCAAAAATCTAAACACATGTTTAGATTCAGCATATCAAAGAACCCCAACAATTCAATTTTTGTTAAAATCAAACTAAGTTTAATTTTGGACCCTTTGGACCTCAATGAAGACCAATTTAAAAAAGCGGGGCCCACAAATAAAAAATCTAAATACATGGTTAGATTCAGCATATCTAAGAACCTTATATATTCAATTTTTGTTGAAATCAAACAAAGTTTAATTTTGGACCCCAATTTGGACCAACTTGAAAACTGGGCCCATAATCAAAAATCTAAATACATGTTTAGATTCAGCATATCAAAGAACCCCATATATTCAATTTTTGTTGAAATCAAACAAAGTTTAATTTTGGACCCTATCTTGGACCAATTTGAAAACTGGGCCCATAATCAAAAATCTAAACACATGTTTGGATTCAGCATATCAAAGAACCCCAAGAATTCAATTTTTGTTAAAATCAAACTAAGTTTAATTTTGGACCCTATCTTGGACCAATTTGAAAACTGGGCCCATAATCAAAAATCTAAACACATGTTTAGATTCAGCATATCAAAGAACCCCAAAAATTCAATTTTTGTTAAAATCAAACTAAGTTTAATTTTGGACCCTTTGGACCTTAATGTAGACCAATTTAAAAAACATGGACCCAAAATTAAAAATCTAAATACACGGTTAGATTTGGCAGATCAAAGAACCCCAATAATTCAATTTTTGATGAAATCAAACAAAGTTTAATTTTGGACCCTTTTGACCTCAATATGAACCAATTTGATAACGGGGTCCACAAATAAAAAATCTAAATACATGGTTAGATTCAGCATATCAAAGAACCCCATATATTCATTTTTTGTTGAAATCAAACAAAGTTTAATTTTGGACCCCAATTTGGACCAACTTGAAATCTGGGCCAAAAATCAAAAATCTAAATACATGTTTAGATTCAGCATATCAAAGAACCTCATATATTCAATTTTTGCTAAAACCAATCAAAGTTTAATTTTGGACCCTTTGGACCTTAATGTAGACCAATTTGAAAACTGGACCCAAAATTAAAAATCTAAATACACTGTTAGATTCGGCATAGCAAATAAATAAATGTGATCAAAGATTTTACAAATCTAATGTGCCATACTGTGCAATTAAAGATTACTTCTTGAAATTTTTCAATATTTGAAATTTGAAAAAAAAAATAATATTTGAATAATTCTTTTTAATTTCTGAAATCTGAAATGAGAAAAAATTGACCCCCCCCCACTATTTCTTTTTATCCCCCCCCCCTTTTTTTCCCCCAAAAAATTCTTTCCCTCAAGATATGGCCATAATCTCAATTCAAATTTCCAATGGAGTTGGCAACCATACTTACCCATTTAAATTTACCATAGTGCTAACTTAATCTATTTTATAATAGAATTAAAAATATAGTGTCAAATCTTTCATATGGATTTTTTTGTAAAAAAAAAAGATGCAACATTTGCAAATATTTTTACTGGTCTTCCTTTATAAATATGCATTTCTTTAAACATAATTTAAAAGCAGTGTAAGGGAAGTAACCAAAACGTTGTTTTTGGATTACCTCCCTTACACTGTTTTAAATTATCTTTATTGTTCATTAACCATTACTTTATACATAATTTAAAAGCAGTGTAAGGGAGATAATTTCAATGATGTATTTGATTTATCTCCCTTACACTGCTTAAAATTATGTTTTGTACTAAAGTATTTGTCCATTAACCAGGACAACCTTGTTTTTCCCCCTTTTTTGCCCCTAATTCCTAAACGGTTTGAGCCATAACCCCCCAAAGCAAATCTTAACCATCCCTTTGTGGTATGGAAACTTGTAGTATAATTTCAGAGAGATCCATACACCGTTCCACAGTTATTGTCTGGAAACTAGAAAATGCTTATTTTTGGCCCCTTTTTGGCCCCTTATTCCTTAACTGTTGGTACCATAACCCCCAAAATCAATCCCAACCTTCCTTTTGTGGTATTTAATCTTACGGTCAAATTTCAAAAAGATCCATTCACTTAAACTAAAGTTAGAGTGCGAAAACCAATGTGTCTTCGGACGACAACGACGCCGGACGACGACGCCGTCATACCAATATACGACCACAAAATTTTTTTGCGGTCGTATAAAAATCATAAAATAAAAAAATAGATTTCAGTGATTGTTTTCAAGAAAAAATTAAGCTTAAAATTCAGATGTTTTGTAATTTCTATAATACCATTTCTAAACAACTTTGATTTGTTTTATTAAACTGGTACTTTAGGCAATCAAAAGGCCAATTTGGTTTTATTCAAGATTATTTACAGAAGGCACTTTCCATATTTGTAGATACAACCTGACTAAAAATGAGATTAAACATGCAGCCATTAGCCTAGAAACGATTATTATGAAGACCTTGGTAATGAACCAATGAAACAATATACCGTATGATACTGTCAAATTTTTACAATTCTAGCTCTCCAAATATTTTACCTTGAGCATTCCTGATGATGGTCTATCCAGAAAACGCACTTCAAAGTTCAAACAAATTTTATGGTAACACATAAGTTTTGTGAATTTATTTTAAAATGCACAATGAAAGCTAAATCATTTGAAAATATAACAAAAATAAAAGAATCTCTTAAAACAGTTCAATAAAGGACAGCAAATTTAACATATTTTGGCATATTATACAAAATTTAATAAAGTTTTGAAATGAACCTATATTGCTGTCATGTAATTTTATTTTTCCCGAATGACTCCCTTTATAAAACAAGCATTCTGAGAGTATTGCATGGCAATACATAGTCCCCTACCAGTTAAAAATTCATTTTACTGGAACAAAATGCTAACCTGATTTATAACTTGTCATGGTGTAAACTATATAACAAACATCAAATCAATATCTTCAAGCATGATGAAAAAAGTGTGGAAAACTGATTATTAGCGTGAACTTTCTAAGTCCAAGGACCACAACGCTGCAAAAAAATCATCTGAACCAAACAAAATTCCATCTTGATCTGTTACTTGTCCTGGTAAAACTATATACCAAATATCAAATCAATATCTTCAAGCATGATGAAAAAAAGTGAGGAAAACTGATTACTCGCATGAATTTTCAAAGTCCAAGGAACATAACTCTGCACAAAATCATCAGACCGGAAAAAAATTCAAACATGATTTATAACTGGTCACGATAAAACTATACACCAAATATCATATTAATATCTTCAAGCATAAAGAAAATAATTCTGGAAAAACTGATTTGCCAGACTGACGGATGGACAGACAGACAGACAGAGTGCAAACCTAAAGTCCCCTTCGACTTCGTTGGTAGGGGACTAAAAAACATGTACAAATTAAAGACTTGTAAACAACAATGAACAAAACATGGTCAAAATAAGCCAAACTTGGTACTCTGTATGCTCATTATTGCCTTTACTTACCATTAGCCTCAATATATATCTGTAGACAGGCACATTTTTTTCTTTTAATTACAGGACAATATAGGTGTATAGCTGGAACAAAAAAAATGTAAGATTATGTCAGTTCTCAAATGCCCAAAGATAAAGTTCAGCAGTATCATTATAAAAAGATATGAATATTTCTCTGACTGACCCTTTTTTTTTAAATCAATTGTAGCATTCATTAGAACATAAGGTTCAAATATCATTCTCTGGAAAATCAGTAACAATATAAATTACTGATTGGTGTAATAATTCTGAAAAATATAAGAATACAAATCAGAAACATGTTCTGATCTTTAAAATTTGCATTTTAACTACAGTTTATTTGCTGGAGATTTTTATAAGGAATGACTGTAATATTTTTTCTGTCTATGAAGAAATAACATCAAAAAATGTGGTGCACACTGAATAACCTGCATGAAGAATCTTGAAAAAAATGCTGATGACGTCACCTTCACATGACAAAATTATGTCTATGAGTTGATAGGCAAAAACTTTCAGCCAATCAGAAGATGTGTTACATCCAAAATTAAATTATTTTAAATAGATAATTTCTTTGCAAAGTTTAGTATGAAACAGGCCATTCAAAGGAATTAACAATGTTTAAATTGCTTTTTTTTTTTAAATTTTACATCTATGATCGAGGGCCATGATGAGTGGGTCGGAAAAATTAAGTGTCAGCTATGAAGGGTCAGATCAATTTATATTGATTGGGTGAAATGTCTCCCAGTACACTGTTTCCTTGTGAGATGTGTATGGTCAGTCTACTACAAAACACCTTTTATATTTATATCATATTGCAATAAGTTACCAACCTGAAAATGCATGTAATATTTACCACTGGATGTTTAGCAGCCATCAGCAATCAATTAAACTTATTATATTCCATGAGCACGTAAAACTTTAATATGGGATGTGCTTTTTCTTTAACATTTTTTTCTCAAAAAATTGCATATGTGCATATTTTATTTCCCTTCTTACCATTAGGCAGATCATACTGATCAGCTAACTGTTTTGCCCATGTTTTTGCCTCTTTGATGTATTTATCTCTTTCCTGTTCATTAGATACAGAACCAGCATTCTTTGTCTTTTTAGGACGATCCAAAGTAAGACCTGTAACAACATTTTTAAATTAATAGTAAATGGGAAAAATCTTGATGTGAAACAATTGTCATAATTTTATTTGCCTTCACTTATCGTTTCAAGGAAACTTATAATTGCTTACAAGCTGAAACATACCTTGTAAAAGGCTTTTGAACCATATCCTTATGACAGTCATAGCAAAATGTAATATACTGCAGCTGTGCTATTTGCGCAGTCAAATTGAATTGACCGTGTAATCATTTGTGATATACAGTCACTGATTGTATATCTCCTTGTTTATGACGTTGACAGTGCATTTCCGTAGAGTTTTATTTATGATGTCACTAAAAGTACAGGTTCACAGAATTTTTTCATCGTTTTCTCGCTCCAAATTAAACAAGAGTGCACACGCTGAAATATCTCGCCTGTTTTACTCACCATTGATTTTGTGTTGAAAGTCTTAAAGATAAGGATTTTACTACAAGTATCACATAAACTTAAAAGTTTTAAAGATCCCTGACAATGAGGTCAAGGTCAGATAAAAACTGTCACACAGACATGTACACCTTACAATTACTCCATAAACCATATACAGTTGACCTATTGCTTATAGTACTTGAAAAACAGACCAAAACACAAAAACTTAACATTGACCAATGAACCATTAGAATGAGGTCACGGTCAGATGACACAAGCTAGACAGACATGTACACCTTACAATCATTCCATACACCAAATATAGTTGACCTATTGCTTACAGTACTTGAAAAACAGACCAAAACTCAAAAAATTAACAATGACCAATGAACCATGGAAATGAGGTCAAGGTCATATGAAACCTGTCAGTCTGACATGTACCCCTTACAATCATTCCATACACCACATTAATAGTTGACCTGCTGCTTGTAGTATCTGAGAAACGGACCTAATCACGTAACTTTAACCTTGATCACTGATCCATGAATTGAGGTTGAGGTCAGGTTAACCCTGTCTGACAGACGTGTAGACGTTGCAAGGAACCCATATACCAAATATAGTTATCCTATTACTAATAATAAGTGAGAAATTCACATGACAAAAAAAATTGAATTTTTATTTCAAGCAGTCACTGAACCATGAAAATGAGGCCAAGGACAATGGCCATATGACAGACGAAAACTTCGTAACATAAGGTACCTGCATACAAGGTATGAAACATCCTGGTCTTCTACCTTCTGAAATATAAAGCTTTATACAAATAGTTTACGCCGCCACCGCCGCCGGATAGTAATACCTATGTCTCGCATATTGGGACTTTAGTCGCAGGCGAGACAAAAATGATGGTTTTAACCCTAAATATTTCATTTGGAACAGTTGTAGGAGTTGCAGTATATAAAGAATAACCATACATTGTCTCGAAATATAAATTTTATTTGTACTCGGCTCAAAACAGGATAGAAATGCTCGGCATAGCCTCGCTTTCTACCTGTTTCTAAGCCTTGTACAAATAAAATTTATATTTTGAGACAATGTATGGTTATTCTATATTTATAAATGTTGCATATCAACATGATATAATAAATTGTGATCAAATGATCTATCTTGGATTAAGATTACATAGTTATTTAATGTTTTCAAGAGATTTGTCACTTAGCTCCAAAGTTTACTGAAGTAATGATGTTACTTTTATGGGGCTCCAGTAGGATACCCCTTTATGTCACAAGATCACGCTTAAAATTCACCAGGTCACTTTTAAACAAATAAAACATTTTCATTTTGAACATTTTCAAAGGTCATTTTAAATGTTATGTCAGGTCATTAGGCCACCACCACATAATGGAATCACATGATTTACCATGGTATTAAATCATAGATTCTTCTAGCTTGGGTTTTGTTTTATCACCAAATAATTCATTGTATACATTTATAAAAAAAAAAACAGGAGATGCGATAGGATTGCCAATGAGACAACTATCCACCAAAGTTCAAATGAAGTGGATGTAAGTAATTATAGACAACTATACAACCTTCAACAATGAAAAAACCCATACCGTATTGTTAGCTATAAAAGGCCCTGACATGAAAAATATGAAACAATTCAATTGAGAAAACTAACAGCCTAATTTGATTGCTGTCAAAATGATATGTATACCTATTTCTATCACTTACCACATGCATTACATAGCAGTAACATTTTCTGTTTCACTGGGTCATATTTCTGTTTGGGTGCTGGAACATGCTTAGATCTTCTATTCTTCAAAGACTTCTTTGAGAATCTGTTAATGACATATCTCGACTTGCACAAATCACAACAAAATGGAGTTCCTGCAAAATGAATATTAATATTCTTAAGAAACATTTTCTACAAGGGGGGTAAAAAAACATTTTTAGAAATTCAATGCACAAGAACCGTAAAAGTGACGCTACCCAAATTTGTACTTGATCTGAGTTTTGTGGTAATAAGCATTGTGTATACGTTTCATAACATTTAGTTGAGGCAAACTAAAGTAAGAGAATGGAAACGAAAAATTCAGCAATTTTTCCATTTGTAGAGGGGCATAACTCTAGAACAGCAAAAGTGACACCACCAAAATTCAAACTTGATCTGTGTTTTGTGGTAATTAGCATTGTGTATAAGTTTCATAACATTTGGTTGAGGCAAACTAAAGTAAGAGAATGGAAACGAAAAATTCAGCAATTTTTCCATTTGTAGAGGGCATAACTCTAGAACGGTAAAAGTGACGTCACCAAAATTCAAACTTGATCTGTGTTTTCTGGTAATAAGCATTGTGTATAAGTTTCACAACATTTGGTTGAGGCAAAATGAAAGTTAGAGAACAGAAACAAAACATTTAGCAATTTTTCCATTTGTAAAGGGGCATAACTCTAGAACGGTTAAAGTGATGCCACCAAAATTCAAACTTGATCTGTGTTTTGTGGTAATAAGCATTGTGTATAAGTTTCATAATATTTGGTTGAGGCAAACTAAAGTTAGAGAATGGAAACCAATTTTGGGACGTACGTACAGACGGACAAGGGTAAAACTTAATGCCCCTTCTGCTACGGCGGAGGCATAAAAAATTCAGAATGTAAGTTTAAAGAACTGTGAATTCATCATTATTCAAAGGGTACCAACTTTCCTGAATTTTATCGATTAATGTAAACTTCTAATCTAAAAGTCAACATAATACAATTTTTCTTAAGGCTTTTATGTTAACCTCAGAATCAAATACCCACGAAAAATACAATTTTTCCTCAACCCACAAAAATTGGTACCTATTACGAAAAGTAAATGAATCCACAGTATTAACAAACCACAAATTACATCAAATGTGTTTCATACTATTCCATAATAAAACTCACCATCTTGAAGAATATCACATGGTCTATCTGGTGCTGTGGAAGAAAACGGAAAACGTTTGGGTTTCTTTTGTTTTCGTCGTGAAAGCTGTGAGTCATCATCAGGTGAGAACATCTGTCGTGGTCTTTTTCTACGTTTACTTCTAATTCCATTCTCTGGTTTACTAACTTCAGTTATATCAGATTTTGCCTACATAATAAATCTATACATTTTACAAATTTGGAAGCATATTCTGTAATTCTATAAAAATAATTGATATACTTGATGTATATTTAGATTTATATTATGAAGTTACATAAAAAAAATATACTAACTGTGGATTCATTATTATTTGTTGGATACCAATTTTCGTTGATTTCTTAGGAACAGGTGAACCACAAATTTAAATGGTCAATGAATTATCAATTTTCTATAGGCTTGTATGCCAACTTTGGCGATACCAAGAAATTAAATATGCCCGAAAATGTAAGTTTTCCTAAATCCACGAATATTGGTACCCATGAATATAAATGAATCCACAGTATTTCATTCAGTCTGTACAATTCAGTGGTGTTTTGCTGGTTAATGTCTGTTTCATTTGTTTTTCTTTATTTTTTTGGCATTAATCAGGCAGTTGGTTATATCGCTTCAATTGTTTCACATTGTGTGACTTTAATAGATGCCTATACCATATCAGTTTTGTCATTGTTGAAGACTGTACAGTGACCTATCATTTGGAATCTGATGGATAGTTGTCTCATTGGCAATCATACATGTACCACCTCTCCTTACTTTATATCATTTTATTGCTTTCACTAATTTTTATTCATTAAATGACTGATTAAATTTGTTATATTTTTTTTTATATATATATATATACCTTGTGTGGAAGGTACTTTTTTTATATATACATGTAGTCTAAAACCATGTACAAATGTATGAAAATTCCTTAATTCAGATAGTCACTACATGTAATTGTAAGTTATAATACTGTATATAGCAAAAGTTCCACATACCATTCCTAAATGAACATAATGAAAGGTCTGAAGACTAATATCAGCTTCATACATTTCTTGAATTCATGAAAAAGTGTAATTTCATGGATACTTATTATAGATTAAGTTCATGTCTTATGAGTAAATATGCATATACTCATAAGATTATTTGTGAAATGACCATTTGAATTTTAAAGTGACGGGTCCTATTCAAGTAAGTCAAAGGTCCTGTATAAAGCATCAGAATAAAGAATGAGAGGTCCCCGACTTTTGTAATTCAGAAATGAAAAATTCTTTATATGAAAATTTCATGTACCCTTTATTTTGTGGTTTTGCCAAAGTCTGCCCAAAAAATCAGCATTATTGTTGGAGATTTGTACTTCATTGAACACTAAAATTCCTGGTTCACTTTTGCTCACAAAATCCATATAAATTGGTACCCTGCAATGTATAATGAATGTACTGTGGTGCACAAGGTCAGACTGCTGTCCAGTAATGTGTATCCAACTTCTCCTTTCATTCATCTTTAATTCTGAACTATCACTTACTTGTTTAGAAATCTTTGATCTTTCTTCTTCTGAAGATACTTTACTCATGTTTTCTCCTTTGTCTAGAACAAATAACAACTGATTAAAGTTTTATCAATAAATCAAACATTCTAAATGCATAAGCCAAGTAGTACTTACAAGTCTATGAAAACTTCACAAAATTCATATTTTTTTCTCAAGTGGTCTTAAGTGGGACTGTTGTGAAAAGAGCTGCAAGACCATTTGAATTTGCAGGTGAAAGGTCTTCATTAAGGGTCCTGTATCAGTGCAAAGAATTCGAGACCCCTGACATTTTTAATTTAGAAATAAAAAGCCCTCTCAACTCCCAGAAATGACAATTGTTCAGTGGTTATATGTACATGTATCACAAAAAAAATCACTTGAATAGTAAATAATTGACTTATTGTCTAATAAAGATTCAGTTTCATATTAAAAAAAAATACATTATATATAATTATTGTTAATAAAACACAAATAAGCCAAATCCTTGCCACCAGGCTCTATTCAGCAGGTAACCCTTTATGATAACTGACTGGATATTAAATCCATAAGTTAAACAATTTTGTCTCGCCTGCGACGAAAGTCGTGGAAAGCGAGACATAGGTATTGCTTTTCTGGCAGCAACAGGGGAGGAGGTTGGGTTACATTACTATCAGTACATATCAGTGTGACAACAATTTCGAGGCCCTGACCCCTAGGGCATGGTCAAGCAACTTTGAATTGTTGCAATGTTGCTGTCCATCAGATCGTCTTTTTTTTAATTTTCTGCCGACAGGCGAGACATATATCTGTGTCAACAGTTAAGTATTTCAGTCCTTTTTTCAAAAATATTTTTCATGTAATTTACTCTCTATAACCTCTGATTTGACCAATGTTTTTGAATCTTTTTAAAACTGAGCAATTGCATTTTTTCCAGGGTGCAGCCATCTAGCCCAGGGTTTTTCTATACTAGTATAGAAAGTCCCTGTCTAGCCTACAACTCAATAACTGTACAAATGTATTCCAATAATAAACAAGATAAATACGAGGAGTGCACTGTCATGACTGTCAGCTATGCAAATCATTTTTTAATCTTTTTATTAATATACTGCTTTCTTTATAGAGGGTGGTAAGGGGGGTCTGAACACGGAAACACGTGAAATAAAAATCGCAAAAATGTTGCACAGAAAATTAAAATCGGATAAAACGAAGCATGAGAAATAAAATCGTAAATATTAAGGAAAAGAGTACTAGAAGTTATTACTCAGCCGTTCTTGGAGATCATGCAGTTATTATTAATGGACATGAATTCGAAGACCCTGCGGTCACCTTTTAGTGTTATTATATAGAAGTATATAATGCATTCAACAATCTGTTTTGAATTTTCCTCCATTTCAACTTATTGATACTGTTATTTAAGTAGATCTAAGTACTTATAGGCTATTAATGAAGAGAGCAATTAATATCCCCGGGAACCAGTTCATTAATACATCTGTCTTTGAATTAGTCCAGGTTTACTTTTCAATCAAATGCGGGACAAGCACGAGAAATTAAGAGTACCGACACGAAACACAGAAAATAAATAAGGGGAAAAATGAAGCACGCACATCGAACCAAACACGAGAATACGAGAAATGAAACGTCAAAACAAGAATGTACTTGAAATAAAAAGGCCGAAAATGTTGCATGAAAATAATTACCCTTTACCACCCTCATTATACATTTATTAACTGAAATGTTTAGCTTAATATATGATTACCCTTTACCACCCTCATTATATATTTATTAACTAAAATGTTTAGCTTAATATATGATTACCCTTTACCACCCTCATTATATATTTATTAACTAAAATGTTTAGCTAAATAATATATGAATTGCTTTTTTTTTTGAATTATTTTGATATTATGTAGCGTTTATTTCTATTAAAATTTACAGCTGATGACTTGCTGTCAGGTGACCCATAGATGTGCTTGCCACATGAGCTGCTGATGGTTTAGTCAAACAATTTTATTCAAATATGTAATTCTATATAAGATTGCTAGAAATTTGTATTTTGGTTGTTGCCTGGCTTTACTCATTTGTACAGGGACAGTATATACAGTCTATAATTCTATAGACTGTCCCTGATTTTGTATGTTTTACACTGAGACTACTATAACAACTGTGTTATATAGTAGTCTCAGGTTTTACAGGTGCATGATTCCATGAATGCTTTGTATACGATATTTTCATTCGTTAAAAAGCTCACCAGAGCTTATGTTTGTATATTTCGTACTATGCCGAACCATAATAAAGTTTTGTTTATCACGAAAAATATTTTCTTCGCTTGATACTGAGCATCAGTCACTAATTTGGGAGAAATTATCAAAGCATTACGCCTTAAAATCCTTGTAAATGTTGTGAGACTTACATTTTAAAGACTATTCGAGGTCAACAAAAGACAGCTTCCATGTTCATATTGTTTGATTCATCTTATTATGCTTAACAATATGACGATTTGATTCATAGAGAACAAAAACACCTCCATCTACAATAGTAATAATCCCCAGTATTTTAGAACGCCATTTTCTCCTAACGGTACTTCTCGGCGTATCGATAAATCCTAAGTGCACTTGTCGGAAGTTTAACCGCGGGAAATTTGAACTCGGGTGAAGACTAAAAGTACGATTTTTATCATTATCACCGTTTTCCTTATATTTATAGTTAAAGGGGCATTAGCTGTCAAATTCAAGTTCACCGAATTGTCTCAAATTCTCATATTTGATTTATGATATACTAAAACGTATATTCAAATTACAATAAGTCTGAATTAAACAATCATTTAACAATGCCTGGGCTCGATAATATATATCAGCATTTCGTGTGTATTTTAGTCTAGACGCCATCTAATTAACCATCGAGATGACCTCCGAAGACTGCCGACGGTCACATAACCCGATATAAACATAAACATAAATATAAATAGATAGCGACCTCGTGCAATTAGACTCTTCTAGGTCTGTTTGGTTTCATGTTATAGGTTAAAAAAAGTCAATCATCATTTTTACCTTATAAGAATGATTTTTTTTGGATCGAATCAGTCAACGAAATGGTTCACCTTTGTTTCACTTTCAATGTTGATATTCTTTTCCTTTTAATGGTTGAACACGACTAATACATGCGTAACCAATCTCTGGCTAATGGGTTAAATTGAAGGTCACATGAATACGGCTTCAATGAGGTCGAATTATTCACTTGCAAGTGAATAATTCATCAGCGATGTTTCTTAGTTTATTTTGACAAAATTGACTAAACTGGCTGCTTAAAGCAAATTATAATTTCACTATTTCACTTTCATTAATGATTGAACAAAAAAAAATCACGTATTTAATTTTTTTTTTTTATATCTAGTAGCTTATGGCCATTTAAAATGTTTGATTTTTCATTCATCAGTTCATTCATTTGACTTTCTGTTTCGTCATACTCATTATGAAGTTTGCCTGAGACTGACGACAGTTCAAATACACGTCACCGTACAATTTCAGATACACGTCACTGCACACCTGAATGCGTCAGCTTGAATAAAAATATGATTGCACGCACGCGGGAAAATAAATATACGCCTTATATATATATATATATATATATATATAACTGTTTTAGTAGTTCATTTACTGCTTAATCGCCTTTCTTAATACGATTTACCAATTCTTTGGTTGACAAAGAATAAATGGGCAACAGTAGATTCCTATGCACGGTCTTAGTTTCCGACTTACTTTAACCATACTCAGGCCTTATCACATATACGGGGATATTTGTATCTGGATGAGATACTACAATGTATGGTTCCCTATTCCAACAGTTTGTCAGCTTTTCAAGCGGCCTACCTTTGATATGTATGTTCTTGAGAAGAACTAAATCTCCCTGTTTCAAAACTGAATTTCTCACTTTTAAGTCGTACCAGGTTTTATGTCTCTTGCTAGCTTTCTATGCAACTTTTGCAGTTGTCTTGTATGCAAAACTCTTTTCTAGCTGACTAGCATAAGATTCGTGACTCTTACATTGAGATAAGTCTCTATCAACGCATAGAAAACCATCAACCGGGAGACGAGGATACCACCTAGACATTAAGAAATGTGGGCTATATCCCGTACTCTCATGCTTTGTGGCATTATATGCATGTACTAAAGGCGACACGTAAGTCTTCCAATGTGACTTTTGTTCGTCGTTCCAGGTTCCAAGCTTAAAAGTGTGGAGTTAAACCTTTCGCACTGTCCGTTTCCAGATAGATATGGGGCGATGAACAGCAAGCTGCTCGAAAGAAAATAGTAGAGGTATTAACTATAGTCCCCCTATTCTGGCTTTTGAGGGTCATAGTCTACCATTCATTTTGAACAGAGACGCCAGTGGTGATAGGTTAGGCGCCATACTTTATTTAGAATGGTATTGAAAGGGTGATAGCATGTGCGAGTAGAGCGCTTTGTGCTGCGGAGAAATTGTATCCGGCCCTTAAACGAGTTTCTCACTTTGCATGAAATGGGCGGTTACAGATACATTTCGTGACTATCTTTATGAAAATAAATTTGAAGTCAGCACGGATAATAATCCGCTCACATATGTCTTGGGTAAAGCCAAATCAGACGCTATATTACAGAGATGGAGAGCAGAATTAACAGGTTATGATTCAGTTTGGTTTATAGGAGTGTTAATTAGTACATTGGCGCTGACAGTTTGTCGAGGATTGATAGTGGCCATCGGGTATTGTTTAGCGATGCTGTTGAGGCTATATGCGATGGATACTATTTAAGTATCGTCCAGCTGTCCACCAGCTGAGAGCATTTTTATGTCTCCAACTGTGGAAGGTATAGTCCATAAGGATAATCCCGGGCTAAATGTTTTTTCAGACATTTCTTGGGCTGAAGAAGAGAAGAAAGACGAAGATATAGCGAGGGCACTTGAGTTTAAAAGAGCAGAACAGAAACCTACGAAGAGAGACATTTGTAAGCAACCTTTAGATACACCGAAGTGACTTTACGACTGGGATGAATTAGTTATTAAGAAAGAAGTCCTCTATAGGGTAAGTAATCTCAATGAAGAGACTATATATCAGCTTATTTTACCGGCTATTTACAGGGATATTGCTCTGAGAGGTTTACACGACGATGCTGGTCACCAAGGCCGAGATCGTACTCTATATCTTGTCAATTCCAGATTTTATTGGCCTTGAATGAACAAGGATGTAGAAGTTAATGTAAGTTTGCGTCTTGCCCGAACTATATATTACGGAAAACTAAGTACTCTCAGATCTGTACTTAGTGTCTTTTTGTTGTGGGGATGTATAAGTACCCGTCCACTTCCACTCGAGCTCTGTGTTTTCGTTAGATGTATTTCTATTTGTATCCATCTGATGAGTTAAGCATTTTTCAACTGATTTTTATAGTTTGTTATTATGTTGTACTGTTACACCACTGTCCCAAGTTAGGGGGGGGGGGGGTTGAGCGCCACATTCTGTATGTGCCTGTCCCAAGTCAGGAGCCTGTAGTTCAGTGGTTGTCGTTGGTTCATGTCTGTCATATTTGTTTTTCGTAAATTGTTTTGTTATAAATTAGGCCGTTAGTTTTCTCAATTGAATTTTTTCATATTTTTCATGTCGGGGCCTTTTATAGCCGACAATACGGTATGGGTTTTTCTCATTGTTGAAGGCCACATGGTTGTCTATAATTGCTTACATCCACTTCATTTGAACCTTGGTGGATAGTTGTCTCATTAGCAATCATACCACATCTCCTCTTTTCTATAAGAGTAGTAGATTTGATGAATTAGTAAGTATCGAAACATGCCAACAATTCAGTGGAGATGATTTGTATAGATTTTCTTTATTTAGAACAATCGAAGGGAGGTTATGAAAATATACTAGTGATATAACTGATCACTTTATAAGGTATGCCCAGGCAATTCCAACACGAATTCAGACGGCTCAGACTACTGCGATGCCTTAGGGAGTCCTTCGTTCAACATTATTCCTTTCCAGCACCACAAGCACTTGTCTGTGAATTTTTGTTATCTTTTAAACTTTAATATATTAAAATGTATAGGTATTTTTTTCAGAGACAAATGCCTGTGTCCAGCACGTATACATAGCGACGAAGAGAGAAATTTTTTGAGTCCAGAGTCATTAGTAAAGCTGTGTAAAATTGCAGCCGTAGTATAAAGAAATTAATGACAACGGTGACATAATGCATATCACCACTAGCGGATTTAGGGGGGTTTGCAACCCCCCCCCCCCCCCCCCCCCCCGCTTGAAAATCTTAAAATAATTTTTGTATTAACCATTTCTTGTTTTAATGTTATCTTTACTATAATTTGAATATCCAGCACTGAATAGGGTGACACGCTGTCGCTACACTCCTTTAAATATACACATGTCATAATTAAATTGGCCTGAGGGAAACTTAATTGATAATTAGAGGATGAAAGGATTTAATTTAGACAATCCAAGGCTGCTATCCCTATATTTTATTATTTTGTTGGTTTTATGATTAAAACGACGTTTTCTGTTAGCTTGATTTGAAGACAAATACTTTTTCACCTTATCATATCCATAAGAATTTTTTTTTAGAAAAAAATGACACCAGCTTAATTTAAGGATATTGCAAACTTTATTTCCACATCTGTACCTAGTGCATTCTAAATGAAAACTGGAATCCGCCTCGTTCTTTTCTTTTCATAAACAAGAAATTTACGGGTTAAAAAGTTTGACGACAACCCCGGACAGTTTGTTAAAAACCGTTCAGAATTGGGTTAAGCAAATGGTGAATGTTAATCCCCCCCCTCCCCCCCCCCAATAAAAATACCACCAAACTGCCTTATTAAGATCACAAGACTTGACCAACACACATGATAAGACGGCTAGTGGAATAGATGCAAGGGCTGATACAGCAATTGCAAAACGGTGGATACGATCTGTAATTAAATAATTAAACTAATCTAAAAAGTTTATTTTGAGTAACCATATACCGGATGAACAAAAGTGTGTCAATTATTGAAAAAAACATATTGTTTGGTATAACAAGAAAACTTCTCTAATGTTCAAAAACATTTCTCACACCACATTAAAAATACATATTTAAAAAACAATATTTCACGGACTCCTTATTTAGAATTAAAATCAATGCTATTTTTTTATTATAATTTGTCCGTAGGCTACTCTTTTAAGCTCGATTTGAGATCGAAAGTTAATTGTTCAACAAGGCTGTGGTCGAATGATTTTGTGATTAGTTTTAGTGCGGAGTGTGTGTCTTGTTTTGTGGGTTCTCATTGGTTTGATGTTTTGTGACCCTCAATTTTTGGCCATTGGAAAATTTCCCGCCGAAGTGTTTCAAATAGCCCTTTGACTTCAGACGAACAATTCGGACATTATTTAAAGAAGAAACAGATTTCATGTGAACTTTGAAGCTGTTCGTAAAGCGTAGACGGTAGATATAATTTACGCCTTGATATTTTCCCAGATTCTTTTCGTTTTATGGATCAAAACAAGACTTTTAAAATCTTTTCTCATCTGACGTTGATTTCGATGAAGTTATGACTAAAGATAATATGCATGCA